ATATCGTCATCTCATAAAAAGCGTATAAATTAGTCCTTTTTTTAATTCGTAACGTCAAAACCAATTTTTTCTATTCGTAACATCAAAATCAATTTTTTTTATTGGTAACATCGTAAAAAATCATTTTAAATTGGAAACACACGCAAGAAATATTTCAAAATGTAATACCAAAATAATATTTATTGAAGTGTAACACGCCGTGTTTCAATTTAATAAAATTTGTAACACATTTCTATGTTCTGAGTAGAAGTCTCACTTTCATTCTCGGACATTCAATTCACGGTGGCCAAAATGTATTTATTAAAAAATCATTTTTGGCCACGCGTCCAAAATGATTGTTTTATGGTGGTCAAAATCTATTTCACTGAAAATAATTTTTGGCCAAGCGGCTAAAAGGGAAATTTCATGGTGGCCAAAATGTTTTTCCACAAAAAGTCATTTTTGGCCACCGTTTTAAATCTAATCTTGTGCATATTTGGTGGTTCAATAAGTCTTTGGCCTGACAACCAGATGGCGTCATAAATAAAAAATCTCTTTATTTTTGACAAGTACCACCTGTCTTCACAATACTGTCAAATTTTAAGCCCAATCCGTGCATTTGTTCACAAGTTACAGGCATAAGTATCAAGCAACTTTTGAGATTTTTCAAATAATGGAAAAAAGTGAATTTCGAGTCTTGATTAAGCACTGCTTTTTAATGGGAATGAATACCGTCGAAGCAAAGGAATGGCTAGATAAGTGCTACGGCATCTGTTCACCACCCAGTTCAACCATCAAATACTGGTTTGCTGAATTTCGTCGCGGGCGTACATCCACCGCTGATGCTGAACGATCAAGTCGCCCAAAAGAGGCAATTATCCCCGAAATCATTCAACAAGTCCGCCGCATGTTATTGAATGATCGAAAAGTGAAAGTGCGTGAGATAGCTGAGTCCATAGGCATATCAACAGGGTCAGTGGTTACAATTATGCATCAACATTTGCACATGAAAAAGCTGCTTGCTATGTGGGTGCCGCATTTTCTCAACATCGACCAAAAAGAACAACGAATAAATGATTCTCAGCGATGTTTGGCATTGTATAATCGCAATCCAAGGGAATTTTTGCGTCGATACATCACGATGGATGAGACTTGGGTCCATCACTACGTACCACAAGACAAACGTCAGTCTGCGGAGTGGGTAGGACCAGATGAAAGACCTCCAAAGCGTGTGAAGCAAGATCGATGGGCTGGCAAGGTATTCGTCAGTGTTTTTTGGGATGCGCATGGGGTAATATTCATCGATTATCTCGAAAAGGGTAGAACGGTCAACAAAGAGTATTATATAGCCTTGCTTGACCGTTTGAATGATGAAATAAAGAAAAAACGTCCGCATTTGGCAAAGAAAAAAATTCTTTTTCATCAAGACAACGCAAGACCACACAAAGCCCAATTGACGATGGAAAAATTTGATGAATTAGGATGGGAATTGCTTCCTCATCCACCGTATTCTCCAGATCTAGCCCCCAGCGACTATTATCTGTTTTCAAACTTGAAAAGGTGGCTTGCAGGACAGAAGTTTTACTCAAATGAAGAGGTTGAATTTCAAACTGATGCCTATTTTTGGGGACTCGACAAAACTCATTATTCGAAAGGCATTGAAATGTTACCCGAGCGCTGGGCCAAGTGTGTTCAACTCGACGGGGATTATATTGAATAATAAAAATGATTTTTGATCAAAAATATGTATTTTTCATTGTTACGCCAAAGACTTATTGAACCACCAAATATTTTTCAAAAAACCTTAGCCAAGATAAATTAAAATTAAAGAGCGAGGGGGTTTAAAATGGAACTCCAGACTGAACGAGCGCGCGTGAGTGAAGGTCTTGTGTTCCATTCTAAGCCCCCTCTCCCATTTTTTCCAAAGCCTCAGCCAAGGTAAATTTAAATAAATAGCAGAGGGGGATAAATAATATAGAATTTTTTTTTTCTGAATTCCAAGCTAAATAATTTGAGTTATTTCATTACAAAGTTTCGCGGCCAAAATTGACATTTAACGGTGGCCATATTGGCGAAATTTATAATTTTCTATAAAACCCCTATATTATAGAGTCTATAAAGACTAATTTTAGAAAGACTGATTCGCTTATATAGGAACAAAGATTTTCAATAAAATGACTACGTTTATTGTCTTTATAATTTCTATATAGTTAAGCGAATTATAAAGTTTGTAGAAATAATGAGTCAATCCTTATGATACTTATCTTAAAACGGGTGTGCTATACATATAGTTGCAACACATCCCAATGTTAAATACAACACGTGCAACGTGGATACAGAACATAGAAATTTCAATGTGTAATAAAGGGGCTCTTAAAATCCAAACATTGCCCTCGTTACATCAAGCGGCGACGATTTATACGAAATGAAATGTCGTTTCTGCGTTGCGTTCTATTTCTTTCTTTCTATGTTTTTTTCCATAATGGCCGAATCAAATGAATAGAGAGTGAACGAAAAAAACGCATCGAAAAGAAAAACACTTAAAATAATTCTGTCGGATTTATATCATTTGCCTACATGCGAATGAGAGTAACATTTGCTGATTTTATGGCGTCAACCAGAGATTTTGTGCCCGAATAACGGCATAACAGATTGAATGTCTGAATAAAGAAGAAAAAACCTTGCAAATTTATTGCGCTCCATGAGTAACTGATAGCCATCAAATGCAGATAAATAATCTTTGCTTCCGCTAGGTTTTCACTTATTTAAAAAATGTTTATGATAGTAGCTGACATCATACGGTAGTAGCCTCTTTATTGAGACTTTTGATTTTCCATATTCACTATTTATAGTGCAGTCGATTTCCATGACATTTAAAAAAAAAACCGATTTCAAAATATATTGTGAAATGGCTTTGGAAGAGTAATTACTAGTTTTTTTTAACCTAAATCTTTTTTTGGCATTTGAACATGAATTAAGTTCCAATCCAAAAGTAAACATAAAAAGCGACTTTCACCTCTACTTGGCTGAGAAATATTGAATCTGGTTTAGCATGCACATTTTATCAATATTATGTAAACACTTCATTTGCTAAAGTCATTTTCTAATCAAAAAGTCATTTTTAAAATTATTACACATGCATATCGTCGAGTGTTTAACAAAAAAAATATTTATTTTAGTTGATTCCTAGATAACAATAACCTTAATATATAATTTGGTGATACAAGTTGTACAATTGGGAAGAGCTCATTTATTGAGTTCAATGTTATGCTAAGATGATTTTCAAGTAGGCTAGAAGTACGAATTTACATATATTTCATCAAAAATAAATTCGGCTAATTGTTGTCAGACGACAAATTAAAATTACAGCTTTTATCATTAACATATTTTGTTGATTTCAGAATATCACTCTGATTTATCTTGTGTTAATTTGAGAATATCTAATAGTCGGTAGTCACTCTAGTGAAGACAGTACGATACAAATCACGGCAGCCTTTGGTAATAAGTAGCTATTTTCGAAAAAATATTGAGTTCGTTACATTTTAATAATAATAATAATAATAACTGCACCGAACAGCGTTCCTTCGCCTTGGTGGTTTATTTGATATATAATACAATTTAAATATTTTTCATCAAGCAATTTGATTAGAGATAAATAAATGTCTTTATGTACATTTTATAAATCTAAATTGAAGTAATAGTTTTTGATTTCATCTGTTTTGTTTTAATAATTTTCAATTCTTGAATTAATTGTAGATAAATTTACTTCTGAATTAATTAAATTAAAATCACTGTTTGGCATTTTTTACTATAATAATTGTTGAACTCATATCTGCGTCAATGATTTTGAATATGAAAAACATTTGCACCACCTTACGTCTCTCCTCAAGCGTAATCATTTAAGTTGTAGTCCGAAACTGTTTCAGTTCATTCTCCTAAGCGCAAAAAGTAAAAATTGTTTTTGTATTGACTCTATTCTCTTGCACATATCGTCATAGTGTGGATTCCAAATTTCTGACCCATATTCGATAAATAGCAACACAAATGTAAAATAAAGGCGTTTAATTGTCCATTGGTCGACAAAATCTAAACCGTAAAATTTTAGTGAAGCCAATCTTGATTTGGCCTTAGCTGCAACGTGCTCAATGTGTGACTTGAAATTCATCATCAAGCAACACTTCCAAGTCTCTTATTACAAATACTCTTTCAATTTGAACGCCGCCTATGTTGTAACTATTTTCATATTGCAGTGAACCCCGATGATATGATATGATTTTTGCTTTGAAATACGTTATTATTTTACATCTAAAATTTGATAAAATTGTACATTAAATTTATAAGTAAGCCTTTTTGCATTATTTGAGAGGCACTTCGCATCTCACCACCTTCTCTTGCTTACAGAAATTCCCGTAAGTTAGAGCAATAGATGATATGCGACGTGCTGTTTTTACTCTAAGCCTCTCATTTGAATTCTTATGTATTTTTGCGCGTTTTATTCATGTTATCCCTATCGAAAAGACAAGTGTCATATGTACGACATGACATTCATATGACTTAATTAGAACGTCATTAATGAATAAATATTTGTTATAGTGATACGGAGCAAGACAAGCTGATTTCATTGGTTGCAAATGTATCTATTGTTAAAGAGATTATAAGTACTGATTGCGTCGACTTGTTTACTATAGTTCATCGTGTATGCGTACTAGAACGAACTATTAAAATACCATTTTTAAGAACACAAAAATTGTATTAGCTTTTTTTTAGATAATAATATTTTGTGTTAAATCAAAGTTCAACCTGTTCTATTTTTAAATATTTTTTTAAAAGTGAATTAACAATATTTTGTTTGAAAAGCAAATATAATCTGATAAGATTCTTGGTAATAAATTTACATTCAAAATTCGCTTAATCCAGTTTGTAGACATAATTAAAAACTCTAGATTAGAATCAATTTATAAGATAATGTGAACAATGTGTCAGCAATAAAAAAAACATTCACCTGAATGTTCAACCAGAACCGGTTTAAAAAAAATAGTTTGGAGACTTTGATACATTTTCTTTATTTGGGAGGATTTTATTTCGATTGAAAATTCGGATTAAAAAAATCGATTGATTGATTTCAAGTGCCAAGAAATAATTCTCGCATATACCTTTCCATTTAAAAAGCAACGACGTTTCAGTGAGTGATGTTTGGTTTATATGGACAGCTTCAATTTGATTCGTTTTGTTTAAATTTAGATAACATAACAGTAGTATGCATGGTACTGCGACTGTTATTTGATTGAATGTGATAAGATGTTTTTTCGCATAAACACTCCATTTAAAATGATTTAAAGACATTCCAAGTAAATTTTATAGCGCTCTTAATTGTTTTGAATGAAAAATAAAACGATTTTCTGTTGACTCACGATAAATTTCATGCACACTTTATTAATAATAGCACGCGAGATGTTACATTCATTTTGAAATCGTAAAGCGTTTGGAACGTTCATTAGATCGTGTTACGCTGTAAATATATTGTGTAAAAGTTTTTCCTTTATTGACCATTGTAATTTATATTTAATGGCCTAAAGAATCTACATAAATTGGTTGACTTTCAAAATGGCAACATTTTTTCCATTGTTTTCTCTACACTTTACATTCATTCTATTTTTATTATCGTTTTTAGGTGATTCAACTTTATTTAACACATTGGAATAAAATACGTGTGAGTGAAAAATGAGTGGGAAATTTCATTTTGCTATCGACAGAGGTGGCACTTTCACGGATGTGTTGTGCATTTGCCCAAATGGAAAAGTTCGTACGATGAAATTACTTTCTGTAGATCCAGCGTACACTGATGCGCCACGTGAAGGCATTCGACGAATCTTAGCAGAGGTAAAGGGTTGAATTCAGCTTCATAATTAAAGTTGGATGCGTAAATGTTAACTAAACTTAAAATATATGTAGGAAACGAATGATTCACAAACAGTTGATGGTTTAGTTGAAACCAAACACATTGGATGGATAAGAATGGGCACAACTGTTGCTACGAATGCATTGCTCGAACGAAAAGGTGAAGCCGTTGCATTGGTGGTAAATAAAGGATTTCGAGATTTGCTTTACATTGGAAATCAGGCAAGGCCGAAAATTTTCGACCTAAACATTCGCAAACCATCGAATTTATATAAGATAGTAGTTGAAATTGATTGCCGCATCGTTCCAGCACATCTTAACATTTGTGAATTAAGTAATTCAGATTTACCAATTTTTTTTTACATTTCAATTTTTCTTTTATCACATTCTAACTTAAATATTAATTTTAATTTGAACAATCACGATCTCGTAGATCAAAATTGGAAGAGTTTACAAGGTGTTGCCAATTCGGAATACCTTGAAAAAGTCGGAATCGATGAACAAGCTGTACGTGGTGCATTAAAAGAGGTTTTGAACAGCGGTATAACCTCGTTAGCCATAGTTTTGGCGCATTCATTTGCATGTATGAATCATTCATTTCCTATGTCACAATTAAGAGACATCATTTTGAAGATTTTTTTTTACTATTTTAAGTTCCTGAACATGAGATTCGTGTGGGTGCCATTGCAGAGGAACTTGGATTTAGTCATATAACATTATCGCATCAGGCAATGGCAATGATTCGTTTGGTTAACCGAGGCTACACAGCTTGTGCCGAAGCCTATCTTACACCGCATGTCGAACGTTATTTAGAAAGTTTTACAGCTGGATTTAAGGATAAATTAAATGGAGTTGATGTTCTGTTTATGCAAAGTGATGGTGGTTTAACGAATATGGAAAGTTTTCGTGGTGCACGAGCAATTTTGAGTGGACCGGCAGGCGGTGTTGTTGGGTGAGTTTTCCCCTTTACCCACAATTTGTGGGCCACAAACGAACATATTCATTTTATACACAAATAATTAATGAACACTTAATTTTATCGTATTGTAGGTACGGAATAACTGGGTCAAGAGAGACCGAACAGCCTTTAATTGGTTTCGATATGGGTGGAACGTCAACGGATGTGTCTCGTTTTTCCGATGGAAAATACGAACATGTCGTGGAAAGTACAACTGCAGGCGTTACAATTCAAGCACCACAATTGGATATTAATACGGTTGCAGCGGGCGGGGGTTCGATGCTTTTTTTCAGATCTGGATTATTTTACGTTGGCCCAGAATCGGCTTCGGGTAAATGAATTTTTAAAGTGTTTTTAATGAAATTCATTCATTTTTATATGTATGAAAATAAAAACAGCTCATCCTGGACCTGCATGCTATCGAAAAAATGGGCCTCTGACAGTGACAGATGCCAATTTAATATTGGGTCGTTTATTGCCTGAATATTTTCCAAAAATTTTCGGCCCGAATGAGAATGAACCACTTGACCATTTGGTGACTCGGAAAAAATTCGAGGATCTACAAAAAGAAATTAATTTATTCTTATTGCAAAATGGACAAAGAAAAGTTAGTTTGATTTTTCATCTATTATGTCGATAGCTTCAACACTAAAAGTAACTTTCCACATTTCGTGATTGTTCGTTGTTTCTGTTTTTTTTTTCTTACAGACACCACTTTCGGTCGAAGAAATTGCGATGGGTTTTATTCGCGTTGCAAATGAAGCAATGTGTCGTCCGATTCGTGCTTTAACACAATCACGTGGTTATGATACTTCAAAGCATGTTTTAGCTTGTTTTGGAGGAGCGGGAGGACAACACGCTTGTAGCATTGCACGTGATCTTGGAATGTCGAAAATTGTGATTCATAAATATGCGGGAATATTGTCTGCGTATGGTATGGCATTGGCCTGTGTGGGTAAGATTTTGTTGAAAATTCACTTTTTTTTATTCTAATTTATTCATATTTTTTTATAGTATTCGAAGCACAAGAACCATGTGGTTTGGAATATAGTTTAAACAATGTGGATGTCATTCGAACTCGATTACATGTGCTTACAATGCAAAGTCGTACAAATTTACGAAATCAAGGATTCGATGATGATCACATTGTAATTGAACCATTTTTACATTTAAGATATGATGCAACCGATACAGCAATAATGTGCAGTCCTTCATTTGACGCAACAAATATGGCTGATTTGAGCGTGAATATTCCAGATTTTGGTGATTTTTACGGTTCATTTTTGAAGCGATGTGAGCCTCCTCAATTAGAGTAGAACATCATTGAAATGTACAAATTCAAAAAGTATGTGATTTTTTCTTGTAGATCAAACGGAATTTGGTTTTGTGATTCGTGGCCGACGAGTGATTGTTGATGATATTCGTGTGAGAGGGTCAGGCAAATCGAATACACCACACGAAGAAAATATTGCACCAAAGGATGGACCACCAAAAGTTGTAGACCGTGTTAAAACTTATTTCGATGGTTTTGGTTTAATCGATGTTGATGTTGTATTATCGAATGATTTGTTGGCTGGTCATATATTGAATGGCCCATTGATTTTGATTGATAAGCTCTCCACTATTTTAATCGAACCGAATTGTTGTGCAGAGATTACAGAGAAGGGCGATCTTATAATTAATGTGGAATTGGAGAGCAAGTTGCTTAAATCTATTGATATATCTTTTGATGCAATTCAATTGAGCATTTTTTCTCATCGGTTTATGAGTATGGACCAATTACTATTACACTACACTACAATTATGTTCCATTACTTATTGATAAATTTCCATTATTTTCTTCTGATCGTCCCTAGGTATCGCAGAGCAAATGGGAAGAATATTGCAAAGAACATCCATTTCAACAAATATCAAAGAACGACTTGATTTTTCATGTGCACTCTTTGGCCCAGATGGTGGTCTCGTTTCAAATGCCCCTCACATTCCCGTTCATTTGGGTGCAATGCAAGAAACAGTTCAATATCAATTGAAAGTTAGGGGTGGTACACTTAAAGCAGGCGATGTGTTGCTAGCCAATCATCCCCTTGCGGGCGGGTCACATTTGCCGGTATATTAGAATTTTTTTTATTTTCTTTATTTCAATTTACGTTATGATAATCTGAACATACCCACAGTAAATGACAATTTTTCCGTAAATTTTAGGATATGACTGTTATTACACCAGTTTTCTACAAGTAAGTCGAGTAGGCTATATGTTTGATATGTTTCAAATAAGCATTTCTTTTTGTAAATTTAGAAACGAAGCGCATCCAGTGTTCTTTGTTGCATCACGAGGTATTTATTAAATTCATTAATATATATTGTGAATCCTATAATCAATTTTATTAATTAATCACATAATTAATTTCATTATTTCTCAGGTCACCATGCTGATATTGGAGGTTTTTAATTTAATTAATTCAATTCTCGCTACACTTACATTAATAGTTCAAATGCTTAATAGTAATATTTTTTACGTGCTTTTTATAAATTAAATATTAGGAATTTCGCCCGGCTCGATGCCACCACATTCAAAATCGCTGAACGAAGAAGGAGCTGCATTTAAATCTTTTTTGCTTGTTGAAAACGAGCAATTCAAGGAAGATGAAATAAGCAAGGCGTTAACAACACCAACTGATGCAAAAGGTGCAACGGGTACTAGAAATCTTGCCGATAATTTATCAGATTTAAAAGCACAAGTAGCCGCCAATCAAAAAGGAATTCAATTGGTAAAAAAATTAATAGATTCATATGGATTACGAATTGTACAAGCTTACATGAATTATATTCAACAAAATGCGGAGGTTTCTGTTCGTGAAATGCTAAAGGAAATTGCACGCAAAACACGTGAACGGTAAATCCGAATATTTATTTTAAAATCTGTTGTCAAACAAGTTTACTAATGGATCAAAACGTTGATTTTGAAATTAATCTTAATTTACGCATACAGCACTGGTAAAACAGTTTTATACGCAGAAGAGCATATGGACGACGGTTCACCCATCAAATTGAAAGTAACAATTGACGAAGCGACTGGTTCTGCGATTTGTGATTTTACCGGAACTGGTCATCAAGTATATGGAAATTGTAATGCACCAAGAGCGATAACACTTTCAGCGTTGATTTATTGCCTACGTTGTATGGTTGGACACGATGTTCCTCTAAACCAGGGATGTTTAAATCCGATTAAAGTAATTATTCCAAAAGGATCTATCCTCGATCCAAATGATGAAGCAGCAGTGGTAGGTGGAAATGTATTAACGTCACAACGAATTGTGGATGTTGTTTTTTTGGCATTTCAAGCATGTTCCGCATCGCAGGGATGCATGAACAATATAACACTTGGCGACCAACATTTTGGCTATTATGAAACGGTAGCGGGTGGAAGTGGAGCAGGTCCAAATTGGCATGGAGCAAGTGGCGTTCATACGCACATGACTAATACGAGAATTACAGATCCGGAAATTCTCGAAAATCGCTATCCAATAATTTTGAATAAGTTTTGTCTTCGAAACGATGAGTCAGGCGGCAAAGGTAAATTTAACGGTGGCGAAGGAATTGAACGTGAACTTCTGTTTAGAAAGTCATTGACACTGTCAGTGTTAACAGAAAGACGAGTTTTGAGACCATATGGAATGAATGGAGGCAATGCAGGAAAATGTGGCGAAAATTTATTACAAAAATCAAATGGACAAATCATTTATTTAGGAAGTAAATGCGCTATAAATATCGAAGCAGGAGATACATTTGTTTTAAAAACACCAGGTGGTGGTGGCTACGGAGAAGCAAATGCACATGGACCAAATCAAAATGAAACAGATACAATTAACGAAATACAAACGAAAGAGTTTTTAGAACGTGGCAGTGTATTTGAATATCGTCAAGCTCAAGAATCAGTTTAATTCTTTTTCTTTTTTTTTGAAAAATGTTGAATCAAATGTCGGATTCATCAAATCAGAGATAGAAAATTGTACCCAAAAAAAAAACTAAAATTGATTGGCTCAAATGTTTATGAATAAAATGATGTAACTTGTACTGTTTACACAAATTGCAGCAAAAACATTGAAAATAAATGTCTAATTGCATGGAACTTTCTAATTATGTATCAACGTCAGTCGTATAATATTTATATGAAAACTTTGCACTACATGACTATATTCTCGACATACAGAGAAGACAGTACATTCTACACAATTCTAAGCTTACGCTGACTTTAATCGGTTTATTTTCGGAAAGTCATGGAATAAAATAAACTTCAAAGTGTATATATACCATGTGCATCTCTCTATCTCTAAGCAACACATTCAATGTTCAAAACAGATGTGAAAGTAAATTTAGGAAAGAAGCGTATCGAAAAACTATATATTTACACACAAACATTTTAAACTTATTCAATTTCACCACTTTCCGCAAATGATAAAAAATAGACACAACATGCAACTTCATCCGATGAATATTATGTAAATGAGCAAATGAAAGAGAAAAACCGACTTAAGGCTATGTTTTATGTGCGACCGTATTAAGTTTTGTAAGCATTTTGCAAACAAAAAACTTCGATATTCCTTTTTGTGTTTCGTTTTCAAAATGAATTTTAATTGAAAACGAAAATAAAACTCTTTAAACAGTTTAAAGAAGACAAGATCAACTTTTATCAGTCTCTGATGGAATTCCCAAAATGATAAAAACAATTTCAGCTCTGTTTAACCATTTCACAGAAAATTTGAAACGAATCTCGAAGCGTTAGATATTCGAGCAAGTCAGTATATAATCAATTTAATATGGATTTTTTATTGAATAACTGTGTGTGTATGTGTGTGTGAGAGAGAGAGAGAGAGAGAGAGAGAGAGAGAAAAAATATTAATAAATAGTTTCTAATAGTTGTTCTGTCTCCGGAATTAATTGTTAATAGCTGCATTGCAAATTATAGTACTTTGTGAAATTATAGTACTTTATGAAATTACCACAAATTCTCATGTTCGAAAGTGTAAATAAAATATGATTCTCCTTTACAGAAAATAAGGATCGCTTTAAATGAGTTAAATTACAAATAAAAAAAGCAATTGCTTTTTATAATTATCGAGGCAAAACATGAACTATTCTAGATCTCAGTAATATATAAAATGCGATATAAGTTTTGATTTATGGAATAGTTCAAAATTATGTTCGATTTCGTCGTTTAAAATTTCTAGTACAACTTAGAGCCGTTGGATTTATTTTGAACGAATCGGCCCAATTAATATTGCTCGTACAAATTTAGAATACAAACCAAAAACTATTCAACATTGCCATGACACGAGTTCGAGAATGCGGGTAAATTTCATCACTGTTATTCAGATGATGTTTGTCTTGCAATATAATGGGATGTACTGTGTGCATATGTGTGCATGTACGTATGCAATACAAGGCATTTGTATGGCTTTGCTGTGTGAGAGTAAATTAGTGTTGGCAGTAAATTAAATAGATAATTTGGATTTCCGTGTATTCATCGATAGTTTAGCTAACGACTAATCATAGCATTTCGTTGTCTTCTGTATAACATGCACAACTTACACCATAAAATATTTGAGATGACACTATGTAATACAGGAAAACAATGCGAATGGAAACGCGGCAAGAAACGAGACTTCACTTACTGTAGGTGCATTATTATAAAAGTCTTTGACATAAAGAAATTCTGCGATTCTGAAAAGTAAAATTACTTTGAAATAAACGCACACCTAAATCGATTATGTAAATTTGGTGAATGTAAACTGCTTTTGTTTCAAAGCAAGCATTTTGGTAATGCAACCGAGTATAAAATATGGAAAATGAATATGCATTACATGTTAAATTGAATCGATTGTGCATAGCAGCCTTGTATTTTGTCCTTTATCTCTCTCTCTCTCTCTCTCTCTCTCTCTCCACCTCTTTATCTTTCTTTGCTTCAGGCTCACCGAGAATTATTTGTGAAAGTGAGCTGAAAATGGTCGCAGATTCGAAAATAAGAAATCCATACAAAAGTGATGATTTTGCTGTGAGCACCATTTATCACGAAAGAAAGAGAATATGCTACAAAATTTTACTGAATATTTTCAACAGTACACTAAAACCATTTCAAGCAATGTGTTATGGCTACGATGTTTTAATCGAAATTAGTAGGGAGATCGTTCTTTAAAAACAAAAAAAATCGAGTTTAAATTGCAACGAAAATCCCATAGAACGATTTATTTATGGAAATCAACAAAAGCAACGATTAACCTTTGGAAGCGGTTCTTTCAAAAGCGATCCACAAATTTGTCATACACTATATGGCTTTTCCGTATGCCGTATGTATTTCCCGCTTTCTCCATCTGCTTGTTCGTGAGTTTCATGTGTGTATTTACAAAACAAGTGCGAAATCACACATACCCCCAAGTTGTTGTTCATTCGCTTAGCATTCTCTATGCTGTTAAACGGTCGGGCCTTTGAGGAAAAAAATGCAAACAGCGCAAAACAAATTCCGTATTCGCGGCACACAATAACCAAATAATGGCCAATGCATTTATGTAAATTTCTCTCTACAATACATAATATGTATGTAATATTAAATCAAAGGGATTTATTTGACAAGAAAACCATTTAGTCGCACATTAATAAACAGCATTAAAATGCCAGAAATAAACAAAAATGCATATCGCATCGGTCTGTATCGTGTGTGTGTGTGTGTGTGAGAGAGAGTGTTTTTTATGCTTACATCGGAAATGGTTTGTGATATGTTGATAGGTCCTGTGTGCCATTTCTGCTTTATTTCTTTCACAGTGCAGAGTACTTGTTCATGTTGCTTTCTGTACGCACATTTTTTGCGATTATTTTGGTCATTCACTCATATATATATATATTTTTTTTCAATGTAATAATGAGCTGACATTTTATGTATGCCTTTTTGCATCCAAACAGTAATGCCATTGTCAAAAAGGTATACATACTTATATGTGTTCCTCCACTCTCTCTCTCTCTGTATTTGATTTTAATGTATTAAATGGCAATTTATTTTATGGGTTTCGTGTTTATGCAATGCGTTTTATTTTTATATAAATAGAAAATCAAATTAATGATTTGCCTTTTAAATTTTAGTTTCATGTCGCGATGTTTTTTTTCCTTTCATTTATTCCTGCAACAAAAATGATTTCATCATATCACGATTCTGTAAATTAATTGAAGTGTTTAATGGACGATTACTATATGTTTCAGGAAGAATGAAAATTGCACACATATCTGTTTGTTTTTTCAACTAAAAAGAGAGCAATAAACCATTGTGCATGAACGAGAAACCATTTAAGACAATAGTCAGTCACTCGAACATTGACTCAAAGCATATTTGAGCATTTGAGCTTCTGTCACACATACCGCATAGTGCAACAGTTTGAATGTAGAAAATCAAAAGCGAATGAAAACAGTATGCGGGTAAAGGAGAAATGAGAACATCAAGATACCGGCCAAATGCGTCATTGCATATGCACATGACTTTGCGTATAGAAAGTCACGTGAGCAGCATATTTCCCCTTCGACGCTGTTGCGTTGAGGAGATGTGTGTGAATTGTAGTCGGATTCTAGTGTTGTATAGCGGGTACCGATGAATGAACAAAACGGATGAATTGATTGCGTATTCACAATACCACTATACGACAGACATCGTTTCACTTCACTTGATCTCCGTCTGTATGTTTTATCCAGCTTGCATGACCTACGACGTTTTGAAAATATCAACATTTCTCCGACTTTATCGTGAGTCTCTCTCTCCCTCTCGTCGTGGTTCAAATTTAGAAACGCATCACAATGGCTCGACAGTCGCTTATTGAACGTTGCGTAAAGCAGGCCAATTCTGTTATCGCTCCTCTAAAAATCTTTTGGATTATACACATTTCGAATAAAAAGTGCATCCTGAATCGAATAGATTTCGCAAAAAAGTGTACAATTTGAATATTGAAGCAGAATCATATTTGTTTTATTTCTTAAAAAAATGGTGGAACTTAAGTTTGAATTGTAAAAAGGAATTTTTCTGTTGCAAAACTGTTAAACTGGACAAGCGAAAGAAAACAAACAAAAATTACTGATTTAAAATTTCATCCTTGAAGTAGTGTCAACGATAATATTTCCTTCTGAATTGGATATTTTTCTTTCATTTTTAACATTTTTGTTTACACGTGATTCTTCACACATTTTTTCTCATTGCTTGCGGTTGGTCTCTCAAAGAACTGCTAGTATTTTATCGAAAGGAAAAATATTTCGTATGAATGAAAGTTATTGTTAATGAGAAATAAGATAAATATTTATTGTGAATTCCAAAGAATCCATTATTCTGTTGCAGTAAAGTGTCGCAGTGATTTATTAGAACAAGAGATTTTTCCTTTTAATTTGGTGCGTGTTTGGAGTGAATTTTTGAACTCAATAGTTAAAACAACAAAGGATTCATTTTTTAAAGAGATTAAATTATTTGGAACAGTGATAAAAGCGGGAGAAAATTGAATAAAAAACTATTTCACACAAAAATCAATTTAACTGGATTAATTCATGTAACACATTGCACGCAATAAATATTTCCAATACATCGGGGTATACAATTCATTTACAAGAAATAACGTAAGTATATCAAAAAATCAATTCATCTATGTAAGTGATTTTCTACTCGAAAAAGAAAAGAATGTATTTGGAGTTATTAAAAATAGATATGAAAATGTTTCTATATTTATATTCTAACGATATTTTCATAGTAAGTGCATGCTTCTTTTGCATTGGTTCCAACCACTTTATTCAATTTTATGAAAAAAAGCGCGCAAAACATCACAAAGTAATTAAAATGTGAAAATGATAGCACGAAATTGATGCCATGACCACAACATAATATTGCCATTCTACAGGCTACAGATGCTGTTAATTCTAGCAAGTGTTGCACTGTGAAATATTTTCATTAAAGTTCAAACGTTAAATTGCATATGCGCGTCATCAAAAGGAGCATAGAAACGAAAATAAGCGCACAAAATATAAGAGGAAGAAGAAGAAGCAAGTGCAAAAAATAGACAAGAAAAACCGTCAGCATTGTCATTGTGTTTCACAATCTTTAAGCAGTTTTCCTTAGTTTTCTGTTGTTTTTCTCGAACTGGAAAACTGGGTTTTTGTGTTCATGCTTTACAAAACTTGACGCCAACCAGGAGCAGAGAGGAAAAAACTTTTTCATTGTAGTAAAAATTGCCGGAACTTTGTTTTCTTTTCTCGTTACGTAGTTGCCGATGTGTCAGTGCTTGTTTGTCCGGCTTTGTTTGATAAGCAATGAGAGACAACTGTTTCATTGCACACGAATTACAATTTTCTGCATCTTCTTTTCTTCTTTGCATGTATCTGCATTTCCTGCTGTTTTCTAGTGCACACCGTACTCTCTTATCGTTGTTCTACTAATACTCTCGAAATGAATTTCTCTCATTTACAACACTTTTGTGTCCTCAATTCTCCTTTTTTCTTCTTGAGGTTCCCTTTTTTATCTTGTTTCGCCTTGGTTACTTCCATTCATCGGCTCTCTATTCATTATCGCGCACGCTTTTCGTTATGCAATGAATTTGCATTTACCATAGATGTACATATTCCACTTTATCTTTTCTGTAGTAATTGCCAGAGATCATTCTTTTGAAGATCTACTCATCTATATAGATTTTCTGTCTGTTGCACTTAAATTTATCTTCATCAAAAGAAGAAACTTTTCATTTACCATTCAAATAATTGGACCTAAAAATTTAATTGAAATAAAGTCGACATGAGGGAACGCGAAGACCAAATTTTCTCTTGTTTGTTTGTTTGACTCTTTTTCATCTATCACTTTGTCTACCTCTCGAACTTTTCCATTTTTAGTCAGCATTCTATCTCTTGCTTTCCACCGAATTCATCTTTTGTTCTTATCTTATTATGCTTTTTTGTTGGATGTCAATCAGTTAGTACTCAAAAACTTATATTCTGCGGCTACATTTAATTCGACAAATTGTCAAAGTTTCTGTGCTCACAGGTTTACTGCTGTGTTTGGCAACTTCGAGCACATGACAAAGAAAAAACCCATGGTGAAAGGAAAACTTTGTATAAAAGGAATTAATTTAAATAAACCGGTATATTTGCTATCAATTTTTCTTCCGTAGTAGCTCCACTTGGACAAAGGAACTTTCAAGTGTGTATGTATATATCCCGAGATTTTGACCACAAAGAATTCGATTCATTGCAAATTCAAAAGTTGAGCAAACATTTTTGAACAAAATGAAGGAGCAATCGTAAATAGTAGAAATGCATTACAACTATTTTATTCTATACAACTTATTCATTTTTCAGTGGCAAACGAATGGAAAAAAAGAATCAGTGAAAAGTTTTCAGTTGCATTAAAATCCATGGCTGTGTATGAACGCATTTCAGTAGTGTGAATAATTCGACTAATTCCCAGAACATATTAAATTTTAAGAGAAATAGCTATACGACTACAGATAGTTTTTGGATCTTGATCATTTTTTTCTTTATTTATTTATAATATTTTTAATGTAACTGAAAACCAAAAACCCTTTTACCAAATGCTTAGAAATTTTTTCATCAAAATATATTGAAACTCTTTCATGTAAACTGCTTCCACAATTTAATGAATGTTTCAATAGGAATTTCTCCCAATGCTTTTTTACTTTTGTGCATGTATGTGCCACAAACAGATGGTTCGCTTTTCATTTGCTTCTTGAAATGTAATGCTTGACCATTGATTTCAGTTACGCTACCCTCAAAAAAGATGAAAGGCTTTTATTCATTCTATTGAGCGTGTTACAAACCACATGAAGCTTATAGCATAGTAAGATGAATAGAACGCGCCAGCAAACCTCATACTATTCAACTGTTTCATATAATCCACTAGCTTCCATTCAATAATTCGGTATTCTGGCATATTCTGTCTCTATATGCTCTATGTGTGAATGTTTTTCCACTATTCGGTTTGAGATCAAAATAAACGCTTTATTTATAATTCGAAAATATATTTATACTGAGAACAGAATGTTATATTTTGAGTAACAACGACAGGATTTCATTAAATTCACGTGAAATGATTTAAAAAATTACAGTTTCTAACAAAAATTCAAATACATATTTGGTAGATACTTTGAAGATAAAAGTAAATTTAAAGTAAAACTGTTGAATGAACAATAATATTTTATATTTCTTGAAACAAAACTGAAAGACAAAGTGGAAAAGTATCGCGATATTATTTTTCAAAAAAGTCGATAAGCAGCTCAAATTTAAAATGAAGTTTAATTTGTTTTTGTATTCGAATGTATCAGATTTCACGCTGACCAAAAACGGAATTTTTCATTACTTGAATTCTTTGTCATTTTGGTCCATCTTCAAGGGATTTTCCTTACATTCCGTTCTATTTGGCTGTTGTATAACATAGAAACGCCTGCATCCACACTTTCGAAATGCTATCGCAAAATAAATACTCATAAAAATCCTATTAAACATCTATTAAACGATACATGTACACATTCTAGCCGTTAGCATTTTTATTTGTGATACGTGCAAGACATTCAATCGAGGATGAGTCAGTTGCTGAACCTTCATATTGAATTGAGAATGGTAGTGGTAAAGGGACAAATTGTACATAAATATGTATATATATTGCATACAATGTGCTACAATGTGTTTGCTCGAAACGGCAAAGAGATAAATGCACGACATAGTGGCAATCATATTGAGTTGGCTCGTGATCATCAATGATAGCTGGAACTGAATGTTTGTTTCATTGTGTATTGCAGTATTTGTATTTTTTTAGAAAGAGCACTGTTGTCGTTTAAGCTCGTCTTAAGTTTGTGGTATTTCATTTCGTTTGTATTGTGTTGATTGTGAGTGAACGCAAGCTATTATTTTGTGGTTTTTAATGTTTATATGCCGATGGAAAATGTTCCATCCTATTATGAATGTGCAGACGGAAAATGGCACAAAAGCACGAACAGCAAAGAATAGGAAGGATACGTAAAACCGTTTTATTTGATGCGATGCGACGGTGATATGATGTGAATAATATGAGGTTTTTTTTGTCTGTGCCATTTTTGTACATGCATGTGTTAGATATATTTTTATCATATCATGCTTAACAAAGTTTAGCTTGGTGAAGAGCTTTGCAAATTGTAAGCACTAGCTTAACCATTATACAATTATGTATAAAAAGCATCAACTACATGATAGTCATACAGTTCTCTGCTTCTCTTCAAAATATACTGTGCCAATTACGATGAAAACAACAACAACAAAGAAAAAGGAAAACGAAGAGACAAAAACGACAAAAATACGGATGCTCGAATAAATTGCAGCAATGGCAATACAACATCGATATAACAGTTATAGTGAATGTGTGTACGTGAGAACGTGACTTAAATCGAATTGGCCATTATTATTACTTTATCTATATAATATTGTTGATATTATTTGTGTAAGCGAGATATAAATCGTTCCATCAACCGTTTTGGGACCAACATCGCATAGTAGACGAGGCTCTTAGACTTGTTGTGAATTTTGTGTCTAGCTAAGCTCATTCGTTCATCGTTCATTCTCTTTTGTACTCTCATCTCCAACAGAAATTGTTCAACCAAAACCGAAAAACAACTATCCGAACCAGCTTTTTATCTAAGCGAATGGAAAATAGTCTACATTTATCGCGGCAAATTACAAGAGAGAGAGAGAGAGAGAGAAGGAGAGAGACATGGATATTGATGTGGAACACACAATTTGATTCACATGTTTCAAATTAAATTAAGCGCATAGCCGCGTGGCTATCTTAAATGATTGACCACATCCAACTTTGAGACATTACAAATGATATAACGAAAAAGACACTTTCACATCCTAGACCTAACAATAACACTTTAAATACATGGATTTGTTTTTATATTTATAGACTATCAAACGCTGATGTATCAATGTCCAGTACATTCTATAGCTTTTGCAACTGATAGCTGCAAAATTCTATGGATGAAATTCTTGTTTGGTTTATTTTGTTCGGTGAAATGGAAAACAAAATGTTATTTTCAAGCTATTCCACATCGTATTTCAAAGATTTTTACGCACATTGAATTAACAATTAAATTAGTCTAGATAAGTGCAGAATCGATAAAAAATCTAATTAAACGATTATATAAATGCTGATTGAAAATGATTAATTAAATTTAGTCTTATTGTCAGCTTAGTTTCATTGCACCAAAATTTGATCGATTATAATGATTATTATTATCTGATTGGTGATGAAAAATTCAAAACGAAAAAATGGCTTTATTGGTTACTTGTTGCGGAATACTCATTATAAAGCTGTAATTAAACCAATGTGTGATACTTATTGTGACAAAGACAAATACACAATGAGAAAAATCATTTGTTTTATCACACAGATCGACAGTCAAAATTTGATAATGATTGTTCTAAATAAAAATGTCTGCATGTTACATTTTATAAATGTGTCTTCTCACTTTTGTTTTGTATTCAAATTATGTCTAAAATTCAATCAATCACTATTTGTTATGCATTAATTTCAACCAATCGATAGATTTTTTATCGTCACCGAATAAACACATTTCGTGTGA